CTGGCCCAGGTTGGGCAGAGAAGCTGTGGCTGCCCCTGGATCCCTGGAAGTGTCCAAGGCCAGGTTGGAGCAACCTGGTCTAGTGGAAGGTGTCCCTGCCCATGGCAGGGGGTGGAACTGGATGGTCTTTAAGGTCCCTTCCAACCCAAACCATTCTGTTATTCCAGGATTTCCAGGGCAGGGTTACAGAAGGGGGTTTGGACCGTTACTGTGAAATATTCAGTTGGAAAACAGCGATGGAACCACGGAGCAGGAAACTCTTTGTGTTGTGGGAAAGAGGAGCTTTTCTGCTGTTGTTTTTGAAGTTTGCACTCCTTTGATTTTGGGGAATGTTCTGTACCTGAATTAAAGTCGGAGGAGCTCAGGGAGCACTGGGAAAGCCGAGTGGGAACTCTGAGAGGATGGAGTGGGGAGTGGTCCCATTTTTAGTGGCCATTTCTGTCCATTGTTACAGCACAAACACAATTTGGGGATTCTCTTTTTCTGATCCATGCTTTTTTTCTGGGCAAAATTGGATTTCTGATGAGTTTAATGCACATAAATCATGGTTCTGTGGGAACATGGGATCCCCAGGGCAGATGGAGACAGTGGTGGGACCTCTGTGTGGTTATTAAATAAGTAGATATTAATAGAGTTTAATTGGCTGAACTGTAGGAATGTGTCCTGTTCGCTGAACACTGCAAATTCCCTATGGAAATGAGCTTGGGGAGTTTAGGAGGGGAGTTTGGGAAGTTTAGGATATGAGACTGGGAAGTTTGGGAGGTGAGTTTTGGGAGTTCAGTGCTTTTTCAACACTATAAATTTATATCTCTGGCCATATTTTCACTCACTTCCCAAGGTGCTCCTTGCTCTCTCCCAGGATTCTCTCTCCCATCATTTTTTTTTCCTAATTTGGTTGAAGAAAATCCACCTTGAGCATCTTCATCCCTTCCTTCCTCTTGTCTTTGTGAAACCATCATTTGGCCAAATGGAAGCACGGGGTGTTTTCCTTTGAAAATTCCTCAAATCCTTGGTAATCTTAGAGGTCTTTTCCAACCTTAAGGATTCCCTCAAGAAAAGACCCCCAAGAGGAAGGTCTTGGACAACAAGAAGGTCTTGCTAAACAAGGTCTTACCCTTCCAAATTGAAGTGAAAATAAGAACTCGAAGGAGCCCCAGAGGGAGCAGGAAAGCTCATAGCAAGTGGTGGAGGAGAATCAGAGCAATCAGAGCTTTCAAAGCTGATGGTCCAGCTGATCTGGACCATTCTGATGATCAGGGAAGAGGTTTAGGAGGAATTTCAGACAGTTGGAAATGTCTAATGTTTAATTGACTTGGAACTGTGAGAAAATACGTCCTGATTGTGGTGGCATGGGGGAACACAGATGAGCACTTTGTTTGGAGGCAAAAACTGGAGAATAAAAATTAACCTGAGGAATTCAGGGGTCAGAACACTCCCAGTTACCCCTGTAAGGCATTTCATGGAGCAGGTAAAAGACACAAGGAGTTCAAATAGGTGATAAGTTGATTTTTTAAAAATAAAAATGGGACTGAAATCGAAGAAGTGTTGGCTGGAAGGGACCTCTGAGGTGTTACAGAATCCCAGGATATGCTGAGCTGGAAGGGACCCACAAGGACCATCCAGCCCAACCCTCAGCCCTGCACAGGCCCAGCCCCAAGAGTCCCCCCCTGTGCCCCAGAGGATCAGCCAAACGTGTCCTGCACGGCTCAAAGACCACATGTAAGAGGAGGACAATCCCAATCCTGCCTTGTCCTGCCCAGGAATGTCTCCACCATCCTGGCTAAGCTGATCTTCCAACCTGTTTTGCTGGTCAGTACCTCAGTCCCCTTCTACAAATAAAAGGACCATGAACACACGAGAGGAGGTGTCTCCTTCCACCCAGCTCAGCCCAGCCAGGATTTCACAGATCCCAGAACACCCTGAGCTGGAAGGGACCCCCAAGGACCATCCAGTCCAACCCTCAGCCCTGCACAGGCCCAGCCCCAAGAGTCCCCCCCTGTGCCCCAGAGGATCAGCCAAACCCTCCTGGAGCTCTGGCAGCCTTGGGGCTGTGCCCACTGCCCTGGGGAGCCTGGGCAGT